TGTGTGTGCGCGCGTGTGTGCGCGCGTGTGTGCGCGTATGTGTGTGCGCGTGTGTGTGCGCGTGTGTATGCGCGTATGTGTGTGCGCGTGTGTATGCGCGTGTGTGTGTGCGCGTGTGTGTGCGCGTGTGTATGCGCGTGTGTGTGTGCGCGTGTGTGTGTGCGCGTGTGTGCGCGCGTGTGTGTGTGCGCGTATGTGTGTGCGCGTGTGTGTGTGCGCGCGTGTGTGTGCGCGTATGTGTGTGCGCGTGTGTGCGCGTGTGTGCGCGCGTGTGTGCACGCGTGTGTGTGCGCGTGTGTGTGCGCGTGTGTATGCGCGTGTGTGTGTGCGCGTGTGTGTGCGTATGTGTCTGTGCGTATGTGCACAGACTGCCCTATATGACATCATAACAACAGTCTGGACCGCTGGACGGGTACCGCAGGATTGGAAGGATGCCCTGGTGGTCCCCCTCTTTAAGAAGGGGGACCGCACAGACTGTAACAACTACAGGGGCATCTCACTCCTCAGTGTGCCGGGAAAGGTCCTGGCAAGGATTATTCAACATCGCCTTGCTAGGCACGCTGAGAAGAGGCTTGCGGAGCCCCAATGCGGTTTCAGGAAAGGGCAGTCCTGCACAGATGCCATATTTTCTGTCCGTCTGCTACAGCAGAGGTGTAGGGAATTCCAAAAAGACCTACATCTCTGCTTTATTGACCTGGTCAAGGCCTATGATACCATCAGTAGGCCTGGGCTCTGGGTTGTTCTTCGTGCTTTCGGAGTCCCTGACCCTCTGCTCACGATCATTAAGGACCTTCATGATGGTGAGCGGGCCCGGGTAAAACTACGTGGCCGGGAGTCGGAGCCTTTCCCTGTACACCTTGGGGTGCGACAGGGATGTCCTCTGGCTCCCACATTATTTAACATCTATTTCGACTGCGTAGTTCGTGAAGCCTTCAATAGCTATACCGGGGGAATTTCCATTTGGTACAGATATAATGGGAGGCTGATCGACGCCCGGGTGCGATCAAGGGATGGCTCCCTATTGGTCAACCACGTTATGTATGCCGATGATTTGGTAATAGCTGCTCATTCAGAAGAGGAGTTGGAGACGCTGCTGCTGGGACTGGAGCGTGCCACTAAGAGGTGGGGCCTTACCATCAGCCCCACCAAAACTAAGCACCTGCCTGGGTATTTTGTACTATCGGACACTCCACCCCCACAACTCCCAATCGGTGATGGGGCAGTTGTGGAGAGAGTGGAGAGTTTCCCATACCTGGGCAGTGTGCTTATGACCGGCTCCAGTTTATCAGCAGAGGTCTCACTCCGAATCAGTCGAGCGGCAATATCTTTTCATCGGTTGCGTAATGCTGTGTGGAAGCTACCTGGTCTGTCGCTCCGCACGAAGCTTCAGGTCTTCTCGGCCACGGTCATTCCCTCCCTTCTCTACGCTTGCGAAACGTGGACCCCCCTAATGGAGCATCTTCGCCGGTTGGAAACATTTAGGCTGGCCTGCCTACGATTCATCCTGGGTTTAACCAGGCTGGATTTTGTGAGGAGCTCACACATCCTTGAAAGATCTGGGCAAAGTCCCATCGGTGAGCTCCTCCGGCAGACAAGGCTGCGTTGGCTGGGTCATGTAGCCCGCATGCCCAGCCACCGCATGCCTAAACAGCTTTTGTTCGGCCGGATCGAGGGGCTAAACGGGCGCGGCACGGGCTAGAGAAGAGATGGAGTGATGTGGTACAGGAGGACGTGGAGCTGAGTGGACTTGCCGATGACTGGTACCAGCGGTGTCAAGATCGGCCTCAGTGGAGGAGGCTCGTGAAGGACGCTACTGGGCAGTTGGAGGCAGTCGCCCTCCAACAACAACGGAGGGCGGAGGAGCGACGCTCACAACAACGAGCGGAGCGCCGGGGGGCTAAAGCACAGCAAGTTGGTACAGTAGAGGGCACAGGTGGTGAATCAGCCAGTCATCTCGGTCATCTCGGTCAGTCGACCCGTGGCACCTGGGTCTGCCCCGTGACCTCCTGTCAGCGGGCGTTCGACACTTCACGTAGCCTCAAGGTGCACATGGCCTGGCACAAGCGTCGTGGTGACGTCACCGCCACTTAGTGGCGAATGGCGGTTGTTGTTGTTGTGCGTATGTGTGTGTGCGCGTGTGTGTGAGCGCGTGTGTGCGTATGTGTCTGTGCGTATGTGTGTGTGCGTGTGTGTGTGTGCGTGTGTGTGTGTGCGCGTGTGTGTGTGCGTGTGTGTGCTTGTGTGTGAGCGGTAATGTAGAGGTTAGCGTGCTGCACTCTGAACCCAGCGACCCGAGTTCGATTCTCGCTCATGACCAATAACAGTCGCGAATGTTCGAACACGCCCTGGGCCTGCCCTAGGTCGACTCAGCCTCAAATGAGTATATGGTGCAGTGTGTAAACATCGCCAATAAGGAGACAAAGGCGGCCGGGCGTGGTGCTGGCCACCCACCCCCACGTGTGCCGTGCCGGCCTTCATAGGTGCTCGCTCACAGCACTTGTCCCAACAGTCTGTTATGCCTATACTGGGGATCTTTGTCTTTGTGTGTGTTCAAGAGCGGGTGAGTGCGTTTGTGGAAGTGGGACATTTCACGAGAGTTCGACATGCGCACACACTCGCGGCCCAATTTATTTCTCGTTTGTTTTCACACTTTTTGGCGTTAGTTATTGGGCAAAGCGATGATGATGATGATAACGATTATGTGGAAGATTCTAATCAACCAACAGCGTCCCTACATCCCCACGGATAAAATGAGTTTCACTGCAGCAGTCATTTGAGTGGCGATGCGCTCCAATACACGTAGGCCTGGGTTGTATTCACAACCTTACTCTGTGACATTTCTGGAGCCAATAGCAGTGGCCAAGTTTAGTAAATGCCCTGGCTGTGCCAACACCAGTGTTAGGGGAGCAGAAAGCGGTGGGCATGGCACTGCCCACAACTCCCGCAGATGCCGCGTTGTCCACGCGAAGCAAAGGAAGACGGTGCATCCCAAGTTCGGTGGATACAGCAACTCACACGCGGTTGTTTTGTAAATGTAAATATATTGTGTGACCGTTTTGTGACTGACACCGACTGCATTGATTCACGCATGGCCGTGGAGGAGTGTTGGGCTGTGTCTCTGCTAGGGTTGTCTGTGTTCGGGTGGCAGGAATGAATTTATGCTGAGATCTGGTGGTGTTGTGTTGAACTTTATCGCAGAGTACTGCGTAGTTTTGATAGACCCAGATCGACTCCAGTGCATGTGGATGTCGCGTGACTGACACTCGCTGTCACCAAGCCCAGAGGTCGATGAGCGGAGGACTGCGGGAGCCGCATTAGTGGATGTCAGCCTGGAGTCGCCCCGCCTCCACCACGGGGATTACCTGGCACTGCTGCTGCTGCTGTGGAGCCACACAGAGGCCCGAGCTCAGCCACAGGAGCCGCAATGCGTGCCGGGAAGCGTCGGGACCTGGGGCGACTTGATGTCTCTCCCACGTTTAGCGACGTTTGACCAGCTGGATAAATAATCACATTTTCAACCCTCCACATAAAACATATATACATACTCTTTGGTTCTGTCGGTAAAGTCACGTAGGTGCTTGCGTGCGGGGATGGAATTCCTTTTCAGCTCGGATCCCGCCTGCTTGCCCTTCGCCACATATATAACCTCTTGTTGTATCGGCTCTCTCGCTGTGTTCCTCCTGGTTCAGCAGCTCCACTGCTGGATTATTGTTTCCGCCTGAGGACGACCGCTTGTGTTGCGATCGAAACGTCGTCATATATTATTTTTTATTTTATTTTTCTACCTACGTAACTTTAGCGAAAGAACCAAGAGTTTGGATTCCTGCAGTCACGAAAGCTTCAAATCAAGAAAAAATAAACAAATACAGTATTTTTTACATATCCCATTAGCCACATCAACAGCATTGGTTCAAAACAAGAAAACTTTTGACCAGTTTTAACAACCAATGTTTCATCATCAGCAGAGTGATTTTCTTACATGGATTCACTGCTTGGACAATCTGAATCTCAATGCTGTTGAACATTTCATTCCAGCCTATATAGTCGATATTTTGTTTATATTTACCGACATGTGTTCATACTTTCTATTGGAAAACATTTTGACTGCTATTCCATCCATTGTAAGAGGCTATCTATGGTATTTGACATTTCGCTAGTGTTGTGTCACCTGCGCTAACATTTCCTTTTATATCTCAGGTTTCCCTTGACACAGAAGCACATGGCTTTATTGAGCTCTCAGCTGGGCACACACATGCATACACGCCCATCAATTTGCCCATTTTAAAATTTGTTTACAATTTTCTATGCGATTTCCAGTATTTACATCTGATAGTAAAACATCACATGAACTCCCTCTCATCTGAAGTTTAGTCTCAATTCCAATGAATGTTCTCTCGTAGGTGCGCCACGGGTCCTTTTCATTATAATTGTTGACATGTTATTCATCATCTCACGACTTTGGATACAAGTTTGGTGTGGTTCACAAACTCGACCTGTAAACCTGAGTTGGAGTCCCAGGGACAGCTAACATCAGTGGCGACTACAATCTGAACCTGCAGCGACTCGCACCGACCTTGACTGACCGGCGTGGGGAGGCCCTCATCCAGCAGTGGATTAGCACAGGGCTGTACATTACTATGTTTATTATGTTGTGTTAATACAGCGAGCGTTCGATCATACTCGGTGTTTTACATTGGGGACCCAAAGCGCAGGCCGCCACTCGGCCTGGCGTCAGTGGCGAGGGGCCGTCCACGCGAGCCGAGAGAAGCTCCGAGGTGGTCGGCCCGGCTGGCAGCTGCCTCGGCGGGACAGCGAGCGGCTCGCGAGTGGAAGGTTGTGAGTTTAACTCCTGGCCGAGGGTTAACGCTGCGCATGCACCTTCCAGGGTCGATAAAACTAGTACTGCTTTGCGGTGAAGCCAACGGCCAGTTGTCATCTGGATATACTCGTCCCCGCCACATGCATGTGGAATTTCCCATCACTGGCTCTGCAGGTGCAGTAAATGGGAGGTGAGCAGGAAATCGCTCCGAGTGTGGAATCGGAGTGGGCGGCGGCAGCGCCGGTCTCGCACGGGGAGTGGCGCTGCTGCCGCTGCCGCTCGCCACGCTCCATTGGCCGCCGCAGCGACGTGGAGGCAGCGGCAGCAGCAGCAGGAGGAGGAGGCGTGGCGACTCCGCACGCGCGGCGCGGCTGAGTCACAGAGCCAGAGCCACGCTGATGCTGAGAGGCACGGGGCCGGGCACTGCACCCGCCGCAGGCTTCACCCGAGGTACGGACGGACCCCGCCGTCCCAGCTGCGCGGGGCTTCTTCACCCGCCCGAGTTGCGAGGTGTCACAGCCGCCGCGCTTTGTGGGGAGTTGTTGTGGTGGCTCGTCAGGTGGCGTTGCTGCTGTTGGTTAATCTCTTCGTGTCGCCTTCAGCTGTGGTTTCCTGTGGCCAACAAGTGGAATTATTGCGAGCATTAAGTTTTAGTTTGAGTTAGTTAAGTTTTTAGTTTTAGTTTGAGTGTTTAACCAGATGAGAGATCATTCGGAGCTCACCTGGTTAAACAAAGTAGCTCACCTGCTTAATCGGAGTGCTGAGTTCTATTGATGAAAAGCGGTTGCTGTTTTAGAGTGTATATCCCAATACTGTACTGTAATACTTATTTATACTTCTATAATGACGATGCGGTGATGGTTGGCAAGAGATGTTGTAACAATCCGTACTCGCGCGGAGAACAATAGGCCCGCCCTGCGCGGTCGCGGGTACAGTCACGATCGAGCGGGTTCGCCATCGTGCCCTGATTCACGTGAAGGGGCGATGGCTGCGCGCGTGTGAGAGAGAGTTCTGCCTTCCCTGCGCCGCACGGGCTGGGGAAGCGGTGGTGGGCTCGCGTGCTACAGAAGGATGTGGAGCTCGGTGGACTTGCCCATGACCGGTACCAGCAGCGTTAACATCGGCCTGTGTGGAGGAGGTTCGTGAAGCACGCTGCTTGTGAGTTGAAGTCAGTCGCCCTCCGGCACGAGCGGAGGAGCGGCGCTCACCGCTAACTGGGGAGCGCATTTGGGGCGTCTGCCATTCATCTCGGTCAACCTGTGGCGCCTGGGTCTGTCCCCTGACCTGCCAGCGGGCATTCGACACGTAACGTGGCGTCAGTGCACCTGGCATGGACGAGCGGTTGTTGTTGTTGTTGTTATTCCCTATTCAATTTAACCGAATGTGGCATATTCATAGGTGTGGGGAGCGGTGGTGCTCTGGTTAGCGTGGTTTGAACTTCCGCTCACGATCAACATCATTGACCAATATCTGAACCGGTCCTGGGCCTCCCGTAGGTCGACTCAGCCTTAACTTAGTACCCGGTGCTGTGTGTAAACGTGGTGACTCGGGGACAAAGGCGGCCGGGCGCGATGCTGGCCACCAAACCCCTCGAGTGCTGTGGCGGCCTTCAATAGGTGCTCGCTAACAGCACTTGCCCCAAAAGTGTGTCAAGGCGTTTGTATGTTCTCCTCTGTTGTACAGAGTGAGCTTGTATGTTCTCCCTCTGTTCTGCATGGATTTTCTCCAGGTGCTATAGTTTATTCCGAGAGCTAAAAATAAAGGTAATTGGTTTTGGCCAAACATCCCAATGTAGCAGAACTGTAATGTATTCTTCTAAGATCGGACAGGGTGACAAGGTAGAGAACGGAAGAGTTAGGGGTGCTAAGCTGGCGAGATGTTAACTGCATCGCCTGGTGTACAGGAGACCACCGTGCGTTTGATCCCGACCCTGACGCCTGTATATTTGGAGTTTTCATATCTCTCCCCGTGGTCGCGTGGATTTTTATTTTGGCCTCAGGTTTTTCCATCACATTTGATTACAGTATTTGGCTGCTGTAAATGTACACATGATAAGCCACTTCGTTGAGCTATCATTTGAAAAAAATACCTAAATAGCTCGTGGTCCTTACCTGATCAAATTAAAAACATAGTTTAGTTTTTACCAGTTGGCAGTCGTCGCTGTAGCTACAGAATTCATGTTCGCTGTGATTCTGTTGTACTTCTGAGTAACTCCGCCGAGCTCACAACACTACAGCGGCAGAGTAAGTTGCCAACAAAGACGAAGCTCCCCCGAAAATCCGTTTACAGACTGTTGGGACAAGTGCTTTTTAGGAGCACTTTTGAAGGTCAGCCCTGCACACGAGGGGGTGGGGGGGAGCGCATGGCCACGCCGAGCCGCCTTTGTCTCTCCCCAGTGCTGATGATTACTCACCATATCAGCTGTTAATGTTTAAGGCTGAGTTGACTTTGGGGAGACCGAGGACAGGTTTCAATATTCTCCACTGTTTTTGGTCGTCGGTGGGTATTGAACCCGGGTTGGTAGCGCAGTGCGGTCACCACCGCTCTCAACTTGCCAACGCAGTTGCACGCACACTCTCGGCACGCACACACTCTCGGCACGCGCACACTCGGCACGCGCACACTCGGCGCGCACACTCGGCACGCGCACACTCGGCACGCGCACACTCGGCGCGCACACTCGGCACGCGCACACTCGGCACGCGCACACTCGGCACGCGCACACTCGGCACGCGCACACTCGGCACGCGCACACTCGGCACGCACACTCGGCACGCACACTCGGCACGCACACTCGGCACGCGCACACTCGGCACGCACACACTCGGCACGTTTCACAACCTGCGGGGCTGCGATCCGCATGCAGGGCCAGTGAGTGGGCGTGGAGTGGTGAGTGTGGCAACATGAGTGTGGCGTGAGTGAGTGGTGAGTATATGGAGTGAGTGCGTGGGGTGTGTGGAGTGAGTGGTGGGTGAGTGGTGAGTGAGTAAGTGGGGTGTGTGGAGTGAGTGAGTGGGCGTGGAGTGGTGAGTGTGGTAACATGAGTGTGGCGTGAGTGGTGAGTATATGGAGTGAGTGAGTGGGGTGTGTGGAGTGAGTGGTGAGTGAGTGGTGAGTGAGTGGTGAGTGAGTGGGGTGTGTGGAGTGAGTGAGTGAGTGGTGAGTGAGTGGGGTGTGTGGCTCATAACCGCTCTCGCTGTCGGGGGCAGCCCTGCACTTATTTGGTTTCGCCGCGGGCGATCAGGTGAGGAGGGGGGGGCATCGTGAGCCATGGGGACGCCGCTCGTGCGTGAAGCGCGTGGCCCAGGGACCCGCGGCCTCCCACGCTGCCTCCACGACGTCATCCATTTCACCACTCGCGGCAGCAGCAGCAGCCATGGTCGATCCACTGCTGGCGGATGAAGGCCACCGCCATCTCCCACGATGTTGCGATGCAGAAGTGTACCAGCCACCTGCACACGAGCTGATTTCATCGCTCCATCTCTTTGGGTGGACGTGCTCTTGGACACGTCCCATTCCTTGGCTGCCACTCGTGTTGTTATTTTTGACCTCCGGCCATCGTAGCCGTGATGTGTAGAAGCCGGTCTATCCAACCACTGTTGAATTACCACGAGCGTGGCCTCATTGTTCAATCCCGGACCAGTGATGTGCTGAGTTTGCACTCCACCCAATCTGAGCTCGCAACTCTGCTCGCTGCATTGCTGATCATCTGATAACGCTACACTTTGCAGTTTGCACAGCAGAGTGTAATGTTTTATCGTGTCGTGGTGGAAAAACAATAATGTTCCAAGAGATAGCTTCAGCATTGTAAACTACTGAGAACACGACACATTTTACGGCATCCCCGTGTGACGTAGGAGGTGATCTCCGTGTCTTCTCGCTGTTGTGATTTGAGTGGCATAAAGAATAATTGTGGCAATCGTTAACCCGGGAGAGCTCACGGAGTCAAAATGCTCTTTTCGGGAGGGTCCTGCATTTGGAAGTTTGGCCAATTCCTCTCACAAGAGTTTGGCGACCGTGTGGGAGGAGGAGGATACCGGAGAAAGCCCAGCGCGCGTGTCGCTCCACACGAGTGGGAGACACACGGCACCACCGCCGCCAACGCCTGGCGCTCACCCTGGCGCTCACCCTGGCGCTCACCCTGGCGCTCGCCCTGGCGCTCACCCATCCAAGTACGAACCAGGCGAGCCGAAAAGTCCAGGATCGTCCGCTCCAGGATGTCGTGTGTGCCCCATGCACTGTGCGCCTTGCGTCGTGAGCGGCGACCGGCGATGTAACTGGAGCGATGTAAAGTGATAATCTCCCTCCACCCGATGAACTGGTTTCTTCTGTAATCCTTCCCTGGTTCTCACTCCGGGAACCCCTGAGCCGTGGGCCGGTTGAGGTGTGAGTTACCTGCCCCGCACTCGCTTGCATGGCGGGGCTCGCCTCTCCCCGTGCGCTGCCGGTTTAAGTTTCGCGACTGGAAGCTACTCGCATTTACTTCTGCACATTTTCCGCATGCGGAGCAGCAGCAGCAGCAGCCGCCACTAGATTAGTTGGAGCTTTTCTCCATAAACACGCCCTGGCAACTGCAGGTGGCTGCGGCTCAAAGGCCAAAGCGGCGAGTTGCTGGGCTCAGCGCGGCCACACCAACATGAATAACGAGAAGATCGTTGATTTATTTTTGTTCACTTAGCTTGACTTATTCCAGAACCGGGAAATACAGTTGTTGTTTTAATCTACTTTCCGTGCACTCTGCGCAGGGATTTGGGAAGGTGCAGCCTCGTGTGGATACAGAATGTTGAGTCGGTGACTTCCGATGTCGTCCCGTCGTCACCTCGTCTTCTTGAGCCGTTCTGACGAAGGGTGGTGCAGCTGCTGGCTGCGAGGGTTGCAAATGAAAATGTTTCATCCCTTCACAAGACAGCAAAAGCACGATTCTACTATCTGAACCAGTCCATATGCCCAATTTGAATATATAGGAACTTTGAAAAGGAGAACAAAAATTATTGTAACGAGTTAGTTTTTAATTGCTGTGCACTACATCTCATAAACAGCAGCTTTATACACAGCCTTGGGCACATGCACACAAATTGTGACATCTCGTGAACATTGTATATGTTGTCATACCAGAGGTGCAGAGTGCAAAAATGGAATGCTGCGATAAGGATATTATTGAGCTGCCAGATCGGTGGGGTGGCAGTGGGTGGTTTGAGCAGGCTTCTCCTCGCCACACAGGGCCAGGATTGTGCTGGCTCGGAGCAGCGGCGAGCTCGGAATTAGGGGCACCACAAGCGTCGCATGGCCATTCCGCATAGATAATGATCGGTAGTCGTCAAATAGTGCCAATTATTTACCCAAGAAAACCTCATTGAGGCTCGCGACTGCTTAGGTAGGTCCTGCTTCGAGATGTTTGGCCAATCTCATAAGTGAGTGTTTGGCTTCATATGAGAGGAAACCAGAGCTCCCTGAACGAATCCACGCGTGCGAGGGACAACGCCCATCCCGGCCACCTCCGGGTCCCATCTCAGCCCCGTGCGTCAAACAGCCGACAAGCACTGGCGACCACCGATCATACCACCCGGCCAGGCTACATTCTGCTTAGCTTCTGACATACAACTACCCTCGCGGGGCATTCGCAGCGAGTTGCTGGTCGATGGTGGAGATGCTGCAGTGAGGAGGTCGCAGGCTTTACGGGCGCTCGCCCCTGGCCTGTGGCTGATCCAGCACTGATCCAGCACTGATCCAGCACTGATCCAGCACTGATCCAGCACTGATCCAGCACTGATCCAGCACTGATCCAGCACTGCAGTGTCCCGACGTGGAGCCGACCGGAAGCTCTCGCTCCGTAGTTGGTGAGAAGAGAGCAACAGCTGCTTGGTTATTATTTTGCCTTTGAACAAAAATTATGGAACAGCAACATGTCGTGTGTGAATGAGTGAAATGGGATTTCATTTATTGTCAGCGTGTGGTACGGTGGACAAGTAACGATTCATCGATTACAGGCAACTATTACGCTCGCGTTGCATGCATCAGACCATGTGTACGAGAATCGATGATGTTCACGCGACACAAAGTATGCGCGTGCGCTGCTCGCACTAACAGAGCGGGGCTGTACACACGAGGACAATTATATTAAACAGTCATTGTTTTAAACTAATCACGATCCCTAATCTCGATCATTGAGTTACTTGGGAGCGGATCCCTGCATACCCAATGTGAAGGATGTGCAGTGTTTGTATTTGAAGGCCACCTTTTAAAATGCACGAACAGCACGTGCAGCGCTGTCGCGCACAGCTCCCCAACTGCGCTCAACGCACCTCTCGCGTGGCCCGTGCACAAAATAATCGTCACGTCCCTTTGTACATCCGTGTTGATCTTGGTGATGTTTGATCATACCTCTACCACACTGGTTAGTGTTGGTTGGTGAAGTGGATTCTCAGAACCGGTTCCGATGGCGCTCGCCACCGATGTTTTCCACTGGCTGGGAATCAATTCTGGTCGCCAAGTTCGTAGCTCGGTGCGCTGACCGCTCCACCACTGCTCATCTCTTTGTTCAAGGGTAGACAATGACGCCCGCGTGTGAGGGATCACAGAGGCTCTGCAACGAGCAGGTCGGACGGCATACCGCCCAGCACTGCACAATGTGCACAGACGACACCACGTAACTCCATCCACAGGAACCTACTTCACACACTGCAGCAGAGCACGAGCAGAAAATAGTCTGCTTAACATACCCCTCTCCTCACATATAAAATAAAAGTATTTTAGGACAAATCCCATCGTCTGCATGGCCTTCTACTGAACCAATGCTGCAGATTTTATGCATTCCCAGAAAGCCGTGTGGCTGATGGCATGTGTAAACTATACTTTATTTCTTATGTGGAGGGACAGATATGGGAAGGAGATGTATTGTCTGCTCTATCTTCGTTAAAGCAAACATCCCAGTGGCCAAACATGCACGCGAGTCTGCCAGGGTGAGTGACGGAGTCTGTCTGTGCCATCACCATGCGCACCGATGATGCTGTAACTTGAGTTTTTTTTTTTTAGAAAATCAACCTTCATATCAAGATTCCCAAAGATGACGTGCTTCTGAAGCAGGAAAAGCAGAAGCGAGTGTTGAGCACGTTTGAAGAGCAGGAGATCGAACATTTACAAGCAACAAAGTTGCATGCGGTTGAGATAGAAGCCGCCGATTCCAGCAGCGAGCAGCCCGAGGCGGCGGCGGAGCAACTCCTGATGCTGCGCTACGGGAGCGCGGCCAGCGCCGCCAGGCCACGGGACCCCGAGCCGACCACCACGCCCAACGGGCTGCCGGGCGAGGGCCACGACGCGGGCGGAGAGAGCGCCGGCCTCGCCTTCGCCGCCACGCGGCGCCAGTGGCTGCTCGCGGAGCGCCAGGTGGCCGCTCCCCTCTCCCCCAGGCGCACGGCCGGAGATCGCGACGACGCCGGCGGCGGCGGCGGCGGCGGGCCGCCTCCCGGTTGGAACGCGCCGAGCGGCTCGCCTGGGCGCGACGGGAAGTCCTCGCTCTCTCGCAGCGACGACGGGGACGACGACGACGACGGAGACTCGGGTTACCGGTTCCCGGACTCGCCGGATGACGCGACGCTGGCGGACGGAGGCTCGCTAGACCTGGGGCCGGACGGCGGCGGCGGTGCCAGCACGGGCGACAGCGCCGCGTCTCCCGGCTCCCCGCGGAGTCCGCGCGGGCCGCGGACGGACGGCACGCCCCCCGAGACGCCCCCTGAGACGCCCATCGAGCGCGAGATCCGGCAGTCGCTGCGGCGGGAGGAGAGCCTGCGGCGCCGGCGCGGGATGGCGGGCGTCGCGTGTGGCCCCGGCAGCCGCGCCGAGCTGGTGGAGATCAAGACGCTGCCGGCGTTGTCCTCCCGCCTCGCGCTGCCACGCTCGCCGCACCCGCTCGCCGCTCCCTACCCGAGCCATGGGAGGTTTCGTTTGGCGGAGCAGCAGATGTATGTATGTACGCCTCTTTTGTATACTTCTTCGCAGCATTAACGTAACGCGTAGGTTTTTCGTGGGGAATATTACGATTGGGAATTGATTTTTGGTTTCGGCCTCGTAATAATCTGGCCCAATATGTTTCATAAGGCCCTCCACCATCCAAACCTTTGCAGTGGTCGGGCGTACAAGCGTCCAAAGACAATTGTTATTCTGTCAGCCACTGGTAAGTTGCAGAACAATTTTCACAACCAAACTTACGAGTTAGATTATATCTAAATGTTCTTAAACTAGATACAATGTCCTAGAGCGACCTGTTTTTCAACTGTGAGTGTGCAGGCGTGGCTAATAATATAATGCCCATTTCTGAAAAAACTACCTGCTGTTCCATAGAACACCAATTACACCAAAGCGGATTACCTCAATCCTGTAATCTGCGAGGCCAACCAATCCACAATGACGACTTGGCGTAGATCTGCGGGGATTTGACCAGACGATTGGAAGTGCCAACGCGGTATTGTGGACGCGACAACGCCGTTACGCCTGAGGCTGCGGAGCACTCAATGAGAACTCCCAACGATGAAATCGGACGGCGTCTCAGTGCCTGCGTCTCGATGCCACGGTCTCGATGGTGGCGGCATCAATGCCACAGCATCTCGGCGTCTGGATGCCACAGCATCTTGAGACGCTGTGGCTTCACAGGAAGGCGAAACGTGGGTTTCAGTAGGTCATGGGGGAACGAGGACATTTACTCTGCTAAGGTGAAGTGAGGAGGTTCTCTTTTATTTTTGCGCACGATGGCATAGCAACGTGTTCAGGAGCTGAGTGCCAAGTCGCGGTCTGCTGGCCACGAGAGGGCTCCGCGAGAGACGTCGTGTAGTTTTGCTGTTCCTCCGCCGCTGAAGAAGCGCAGCCTGCAGTGGTCGCTCTGTGATCTCTAGTTTAGGTTGCATGGACAGCGAGAGAGGAGTGCTGGGCAATACAGTGTCGGTGCCGCTCAACGCATTTGGAGTGATGGGCACGGTGATGGAGGAGGGGACGAGGAAGCTGTTGAGGCTGGACTGTTTGTGGATGATAATTCACTCATCCCGAGATTTGATGGGATCGGGTGCATTCCGGGTGAGTTGGTCAGAGGCAGGTGGCCCTGAAGACCACGTAAAATGTCTCAAGAGGTTCCCGAGTGGGACATGTCTAGGCTCTGTGTGTTGGGGATGTGGGCAGGAATTGTTGCGTGTTTGAGATGTGAAGGGATTAGGCGTAAACACGGCTCAAGGTTGTGCTGACACACGGTCACCCCTTGCGCCGACATTCGACCCCTCGACATTCGAGAGCACAACCATAATGGGAACCAACGCGTGAAGGGGGAATTATGAAAATGCACTCCGGTTGTAAAACGAGACTAAGAGACACCACAGCTTCAGTGAATGCAAACAAAATACAATAACTGAGCAGAGAATTTGCCTCCTTTCCATATTTCCTTCCCAAATAAGATGTGAAGGTATTTTGTACACATTCTGTCAGCCACACAGCCTTCCACGAGTGCATAAACAAACTCAACATTCGCAATTTCTGGACCAGTTTTGACATTCATCATCTCTGCAGCAGAGCCAGGCTTGTTAGTTCAACCCCAAACTAAATACAGTGGTACACAAGCCAGGCAGTGTATGGCGGTGGTGGATCATTGAAGCTCACAAGTCGGTCCATGCTATTCCGACGCCCAAATTTGCATCACGCAGAGTTGTTTGTATGCATGTTGAACGTCTTCCGCACCACACATGTCCAACCTTGCTTATCGGAGGCGCGCCAGTCGGAGGTGCAAATTTGTGCGATCGACCCGCCATCGGGCGTACTGCTGGGCCACGCGTATCGTGACGCGCCGGCGGTCTCGCTTGTGTCACAGAGAGACATCCGGCTGGAGACGCAGCGCGAGGAGGTGCTGGTGAAGGCCGGCCACGTGCGCGGCCAGTACGACCGTGGCGCCGCGCAGGAGCTCGGCCTGCTGAAGAAGATCTTTGAGCAGCCTGAGCCACCCCTCAGCCCCACCACCCCCAAAGCTCGCCAGCCCAGCCCCAGCAGCCCAGGTCTCTCGCCACCGCACTCGTTCACAAGCACGGCCGGTCGTGAATGGCCGCCCCTGGTGCCGTCCGCTCCAGCGCGGTGTCGGTGCGCCCTGCATGAGAGCGCGTTTATTCGTCACGACCTGCCGTGACATTGGCAAACGGAATCGAGTAAAAGCTGGAAAAGGCATAAAAAAGCGTGAACAAAATGCATGCTTGTAATGACGGCGAGAGTAACTCGTGGATGGTAGGTAGGGAACCTGTGCAGGTCAGAGGCTCCGTTCGGAGCGGAGGACCCGTCGCGGGAAGGGGGATGGTGGCCGCTGGTCCACACCAATGGCAAATGAAGAAGGGGATCCACCTGAGCCGACGTTCTCCACGAACGCGGAGCGACGAGACCTGTTCTCGCGTGCGGAGCGGGATGACCCACTGCATCGCATGACCACAAGAGATGGTTTAGGCTTCGTCCAACAGCAGAGAGATCAGAGCTGATGATGATGATGATCTGTACCAACGAATTATAACACTAATCCTAAGGCCTGTGTTAAAGCTTACGTTCTTAAAATATCTATAGATGCTCGCTCAGCCTTGCGTTAAATAGCCCTGGACCTTTAAATATGCTCAGAGACTGGGAATGAACTCCATTCGTTTGACGAAGAGCAGGGAAAGATTTGCAGACCAACCCTTAGCGTTCTCGCCAGAGATGCAGCCAGTAAGACAGTGGACATCGGATTCGATGTGGGGAGTGTGAGCAGATCCTCTAATCTGTTGTTGTTTATCCACACAAGTTAATACTTTTATCTGCCTAGTTAAAGCACGCTTACAGAGGCAATAGGCTGAAGTCGCCGCGACTATGACGTCTCTGCTGCTATTCACGCGAAGGCTCCGAGTCGCATCCCAGTGACGAATCCGTCCAGAGGTGCGGATAGTAACACGAAGGCACCGCTCTCATCCAAGCAAATGTTCAGATTGCAACGAATTGTCACGCATATAACAGCTATTGTTGGATTTTTAGCGGAGGACTATTAACTGACAAACGGTAACGCGCATGGGACAAGTTTCGCCGTGCCGTAAATGTCGTAGACGAAGGGGTGAATCGCCATCCGGCCCGGGGCGAGTTGTGAACTGCGTTGACTCGGAGCGTAGCCGGTGCGTCCCTGGCGCCCTCTGGTGGTGACACAGCCACACGGCGCCCTCTGGTGGTGACCCAGCCACACGGCGCCCTCTGGTAGTGACACAGCCACACGGCGCCCTCTGGTGGTGACACAGCCACACGGCGCCCTCTGGTGGTGACACAGCCACACGGCGCCCTCTGGTGGTGACCCAGCCACACGGCGCCTTCTGGTGGTGACACGGTCACACGGCGCCCTCTAGTGGTGACACAGCCACACGGCGCCCTCTGGTGGTGACACGGCCACACGGCGCCCTCTGGTGGTGACTCAGCCACACGGCGCCCTCTGGTGGTGACCCAGCCACACGGCGCCCTCTGGTGGTGACACAGCCACACGGCGCCCTCTGGTGGTGACACAGCCACACGGCGCCCTCTGGTGGTGACAGCCACACGGCGCCCTCTGGTGGTGACACGGCCACACGGCGCCCTCTGGTGGTGACACGGCCACACGGCGCCTTCTGGTGGTGACACGGTCACACGGCGCCCTCTGGTGGTGACACAGCCACACGGCGCCTTCTGGTGGTGACACGGTCACACGGCGCCCTCTGGTGGTGACACAGCCACACGGCGCCCTCTGGTGGTGACTCGGTCACACAGCGCCCTCTGGTGGTGACACAGCCACACGGCGCCCTCTGGTGGTGACAGCCACACGGCGCCCTCTGGTGGTGACAGCCACACGGCGCCCTCTGGTGGTGACACAGCCACACGGCGCCCTCTGGTGGTGACACAGCCACACGGCGCCCTCTGGTGGTGACACAGCCACACGGCGCCCTCTGGTGGTGACACAGCCACACGGCGCCCTCTGGTGGTGACAGCCACACGGCGCCCTCTAGCGGTGACAGAGCCACACGGCGCCCTCTGGTGGTGACACAGCCACACGGCGCCCTCTGGTGGTGCACGGGTGCATTCCGCAGCCAAGCCCGTGTCCGTCCGTGGAGCAGCACGGAGGGGAATTTGAAATCGGTTTTGTCCAAATCGCAACTTTCATAACCACCCACCACTACGTCCATTAGGGGAGAAAAAAGTAATCTGACCTTCGATTAGCTCGTTGGCTACGTATGGTGCGAAAGAAGTTAAACATACGTACAGTGACTAACCATTGGAATGGTGTCGGTCGTCAACTCACCATTCCTTTGGAGCTTATAAAATATGGGTTTTTATCTCTCTGAGAACTAAACAATAGTTGTCTTAAGGATCGAATCATCTTCCCAGCACAGGAGAATGAAATGTACACCAGTGGTTCAAACCGAGCAACAGAAATGACCGCCGCGTACGCCTGCTCCATGCACCGCCGCACAGGCACGCACCCTCATTACAAGCGGGGTGTAGTGATCGCCCCCCACTCTGTCGTTGTGCCAGCCACACCACCCACTCGTGCGCCATCGCGGCCTTCGTAGGCGCCGTTCGCTAACAGCGCTTTCCACAACAGTCTGTGAAGGCTAAACAGGGGATATTTGTTTTTGTGGCTGCAGGTCCCGTGAGGCAGTCGAGCCGGGAGCGGCTTCTCCTGGAGCCGGCCTCAGAGAACGTGGTGATCGTGGAGCACAATGTCCTGCAGCCACACGGCCGCACGGGCGCCCCGCTCACCTCCACTCCGCACCGCGCCGCCCGCAGCCTCGGTGAGAAGCGTGCGTGTTTACACGCGACTTGTCTCTCGACCCCTTTCGCAAGGGCATTTTAGAAGAAACTTTTTTTTAAATGTACCTGTGCCTTCAGTCCGGTGAAATCCATTCTGTGTCGTGAGGAATCGCTTGATGTGCAGCTGCCGTACCTACAATATTTGTTTCACCGTGTTGGGTGGTGAAGGATAACACAATTACATGGCCTAACCCAACAATCGCCCATGAATCGACAATTTTACGGTTCCCTTAGCAGAGTGGGACACGGGGAACGTGATCATCTTGGAGTCTCGGATCGGAGCCTGGGATGAGGAGCCCACGATGCCCACGCCCCCGGAGCCACCCACGTCCCCTCCGGGAGGGGGGCCCTCCCCGTTCGGCCCGTCCCTGCGCCGGGCAAACGACGCGCTGTCGCTCGTCGAAAGGGAGATCCGGGAGGCGCACCGTCGCGACGACGAGCTCCGGCGGCAGCGCCACGGCGTGTACGGCACGGCCGGCAAACCGGGAGGCTTGCCGCAGGGAGGCTCGCCCCTCAAACCGGCCGCCGGGGATCGCGCACCACGAGCCACCGGGGGGGCCACCCCCACGGTCCCCGCATCTCCGGCCTCTCCCAACTCGCACGCGGCCGGTGGGTGCCTCTCCACGTGGCGTCGGCCTCGCAACCGCGCGATGTTCAACCTCGAAGCCCAGTTACGATCCACAGTGAACCTCCCCTCATCCAGCCTCCGCCCTCATCCTCCTCGTAATGGAAAATGCTGTTATCTACGCATCGTTTCAGTCTGGCATCCACGCTTCTTCGTGGAAAGGAGCAGTCGAGAAGTGGTAGCGTATCGCCCGTCCTTTGTGCTGATCGCTCATAAATGAGACACCTAGAGAGGGCTCCTGGAAGCGAGCGTCGATGCGCGGTAGAGTGAGATGAGGTTTGAAGGGGAAGCCGCAAGGCATTGGCTTGACCGTGTAGATGTCCGCTATGGGAAGGCGCCATTAACGATGCGTTTGTGTTGTTTTCAGAGTCCAAGGCGATAACCAATGGCCAGGACAATCAACATCCGGCTCAACACAGAGATCCAAGCCCAGGCAGCAAATCCGACTCTGCACAGGTGAGTGCACCACACAGCGTTACACCGTCACTGCTGTCTGGTAATGAATCCTTCATTATCAATCGCTAAGCCATGCTCAAACAGCTCTGTGCTGTCATAATGGTGGTTTTTGAAGACGCTTCTTGACAAGAGGCAATGGTTAAGCTTAGGAACAGGAGACTCAGAGGGGAATATCTCAGCAGTGCAGAGGCTGGGCAGAGGGAGTTTCATGCAGCAAGGCCAGCTCCAGAGAAGAATCATCGACCTCTCATTGAGCGAAGGTGCCATTGAGCCGTGGTGGTGGTGGTGAGTGATGTCTCTTTGTACGTGCAGGTCTCTCCTGGTGGCAGGAGGAGTCCACGCAAGAGTGCGATGGCGCTGCGCTGGGAAGCCGGGATCTTTGCGAACCACCAGGGCAGCCTGGACTGAGACGACAAGGAGAGGAGAAGCCAAACCCAGGCCACTACCCAGGAGACACCGCACGGCATCCACCATCGCTGCCCAAGCAGACGGAGCAGAATGTTCACTCACCATCACGACTAAACACGACATACCCTCGTCATCACAACAAACCACAGACTACCCCACGCTCTCATCACTGTAAATAACTCAGTGGAGAAGCACAAGGAAAGATTTAGGCAAAATAAATGCACAGGGTGACGGCACCCACACTTTTCTGCGTTGTGGTAATATTTGAATTCTGAAAAAAACACGGCAGGATACGTGACATTACAGATGTTTTGTGATAAATGGGAAGGTACAAACTGCAACAGGGCGTGCTGTGTCCCCACCTGCTGCACTGATTTGGCCACGGAGGCCCCAGGGCCCCGTGCCGGTGAGGCCAAGATGCTGGCCGTGCGGGGCGCCGCCGGTGCTATAGGGGTCCAGCGATCCCACTCACTGTCACCACTCGATTCTCTTGGTAACATTACGCTGAATGTTGCGACCTCTCGCGGCTGCAGGGGTCATGTAAACCCATCCCGTACACGTGCGTAAGAATGGACGCATGTCGGTGAATCGATGAACCGACACCCCCCGCAGCGTGAAAAGCGTCGCCCAGATCGCGCATCTGCTCGCGCGTCACCGTGCTTCTTGCCGTCGGGACGAGCTCGTGAATGCCTAGATACCGGCCCCCCAGTGCACGCTCGTCTCTGGAGCCTGGAGGACTAAGTAACAAAATAATTTCAAGGGTTTCACGGGTGTAATGCCCCCATGGGCTTGTCGAGTTGCATTGTGGAAACGGTGCCAGAAGACTGTATTACTGGATGAATAATCCCTGCCCCCAGCGTGACGATGAAGTTACTATCGCATTAAAGTGAAAATGCCTGAAAGATGCTTCTGCATTTTTAACCGGCCTTGCCACCGCTGGCTTTAGAAGCTGCTTCTCCGGCTTGGAGCAGCCGCGCTGTCACAGAGGAGCATTGTAACGCATTCAGTCTCGTGCAAGGGATTTTAAAACGCCACACAACTCTTGTCTTGTACGAACTGTGCTTTTAGAAACTGTGGTGACAAAATGCATTTCTATGAAAAGAAAGTTCAGATTTTTACAAATGTATACACAAGGTTATTCTCTTCGATGGGAATTGTCCTGGGGCACTGATGGGGTGTGGTGGCTGGTGGGGATTACTCCGCTGACTCATAAACGTGCGTCTATGTGCATCTACGGAAATTGGGCGTAATTCAAGGATTTGCAAACGTGCTTTGTTTCCGCAGCATTCAGTCTTTCATTTCGAGGTATGAAAAGCACAGATAGCAGAGATTCAAACCAGATGTCTTCTTGTGGTACATGGTCCAATGGGTGAAGGCTCCAGGTTCTCATCGCTTTCCACAGACCTGCCCAGCAGCAGGGGAGGTTTTAAATCACAGCATTTGGGATAGGAAACCCGCACTCACGGAGAGATTCCAAATCCGGGGATGTGAATACTGGTATTGTGATCTCCACTGTAGAAATCAAGGCCCTCTGTTAAACCTTTGTCCAATGGGAGGCCGCTCTTTCTTTGCTGCTGCTCCTGATGTCTGGAATTGCCTCCATCGTGGCCGTGCACACTGCTGACACCGTCCTCTCATTCTCGTTGAGGGCGACGACTTCCCTCATCTGCCTGTGGCTGGCGCTCTTATCTGTGAAGCGACTTCATTCACACTGCTACCGTAACATTCACTTCAGTTCTCTCTTTAGCCTGTAGAAGTAGAGCTGCCCTTCCCTGCTGTAAACCACGCTATGCAACCTCTCTGTGGACACATCCCCTAGTTGTGTACGGCGCCTTGTGATGTGGTCGCATCATGTGCACGGCCTACATCAATTGGCAGTGTGTTGGATGGGACCAGGACGACCCAACGCAAGTGCAGGTCCTGCAGTCACCTCCACCGGTGGACATGAGGAGAGAAATCCGTGTCTGTGCGGGCCAGCCATCCCGGCCCGATTCCAGGGTGGAGATCCACTCTCGCCATGGTATTCCAATCAAGACGGAGTGGTGGAATTCAATCCTCGCTAAACCACTGTGAGACCTACTCGGCAGGATGATGGCCGCCTAGTAATTGGTGCAATCTGTAAGTCCTCTCGTCAAGCCGCTCGCCGTGGCATCTGCCCAGATTATGCTGCAGCGGTCTGCATGCAGGTGGCGGTGATGTTGCCACGATCTCCCGTGGGTATCCTCGACATTGCTACCACCCACTCCGATCACACGCCGCTGTGCACCGTTCAGTAGCGTTGCCACGCCGACGATGTCCGGCTGTGACCAAAGTTGAATGAATTATTAAGGAGCTACATTTGACAACCGTAAATAAACACAAGCACGCGCCATGTTTGTCCTCGGCACTGCCTTGCAGCAGCAGAGAAGTATAAATACGTTGAGTGTTCTGGCCAGTGCCCAAAATACACTTCCTGTTCTAAGGCAATGTTGTTCATCCGGGCGAGGATTTACATGTATTTCGCAATAAAAACGCAAGTGTTCAAAGGGCTTTGCAGTGCACACCAATAAACATTACACTGATAAGAGGGAAAGGCAAGTGATTAAATAATAATACTAATAATTGTGTTTGCAGTAGAGTTGGAGAAACCCGATGGCAGATGCGGTGAGGTGTCTGGTGCGTATTAAGGGAGGACAAGCGAAGGGACATGACCGTGGGTTGGACATAAACACAAGAGGCGTCTGTCGGCCGACAATCTACAAGTGGTTCAGTCCTTTAGAAGCATATCAAACATTTTATTTTTCAGGAAAAAAAGTGGGTGGTATTTTTTTTGGGTGACATAAAATGTTTTGTTGCTGATGTGTAATATATGTAATATTTAATAACATGCAGCGCCATTTGGCGACCTGCACATTTTTCATTGTATTGACTTATATGATAACAGAATGGATAAAGACTTCGTCATGCGCTGTTGTGGAACGAATTGTCACCTGGGTTGCCGGAGCCATCTCCATGGCGGGGCCCTGTTCAGCGCAATCATCAATGCTGGGTTTGAACCCAGCAATACGGTATTTGTTTTTAAAGCCTAACTGCTCATGAGATACAAAAAGTAAAAAGCAGGCCGGGGTTAAATCAAATCTTGTTGGGAAATATCGGTCCAGAAAGTCTATACGGTGATGTAATAAACATTGTATTTCACGTGGCGGGGTGAACGGATGTCTCTGTCTTATCGTGCGAGCCTTGTCGCGGCATAACAGGAGTCTCCTGTTATTAGAGTAGAATGTATAACGCGCACAGAAGTCGTGTACCCCCTGAGAGAGATAACGAGTGGGAGGCACAGGGAACCACAGCCGAGCAAGAAGGCAGCCGGCAGCAGCAATCTGAGGTCACGTGCAGGGCTCTGCTCTGGACCCGTGACAGAACCGAGAAGCGTTTGCAATGCAGCTGTACAACAACGTGAAATCAACAACGCTACCTTAGAACCAAACAACGGCGTCCTTGTCATCCACGTGTCCCGGCGTGCTCACGGGGCTGGCTGCCCGCTGGGTGTCTGCATGCATCTCGCACTGCTCTCACAATGTGGAGAATGGGATTTGTGTTTTGTCAAATGTGGCTGTTTCAAGATTCTATAGTTAATTAATCCGTTCATAATTAGGCGACAGAGCCCTTTGCAAGGGTCACTAGATATGAGGTTCCCGTGGCCACGACCAAGCCGAGCCGAGGCCGTGCAGTGCCACGGCTCCTCCCTGCTCGCCACCTGCTCGTCTCGCTCTTCCCACTTGGGCCACAGGCAAGTGGCCGCCTTTTTCTTACGCAGGATGTCAAACATGAGTTCGCGTTTGCCCTCCCAAACAAACATATACAATTTTGTTCTTTTTTTAACGAATTTTCTTTTTAAACAAAAGCTTGACCGTGAAGTTGACCGTGCGCGTCTCTGCCACGTTGACCCCGTGACGTCACGCCATTGTGACGTCACGCCATTGTGACGTCACGCCATTGTGACGTCACGCCAGTGTGACGTCACACCTGTGTGGCACGATGTCCGACGTCCATGGGAATCTGGGCTGAGCCCACGGGCCTGGTTTGTGAACTGGACCAGCACGCTTTAAAGCTGTGGCGGGGACGTGGCATGATATCAGCCTGGTGTGCCGACTCGTTTTCTGCTCAATTATTGTTTTAAACAATTGGATGCACATTAACAGACACCCAAAGCCAGCACCATCATCAATATTCCACTGGTAGACGATGTTGTTGTGTGCTATTGACTGGACCTCCGATTAGCACGGGAGGCTACGTATGGTGCGAAAGAAGTTCAACACACATACAGACTCAATGTTAAATGCTTGAAGGTTGCACCAAGGAATCATCGGGTGTATGAGCTCGCTGTCACCCATTAAATTCCAACTGAGCTTGGATGAGCTGAAAAGCAATCCGCCTGAACCCGATGCCACAATATGATGTTGACCCCGTGTTGTGGCTTGCATCATCCTCGGGCGATGACGTGTGGGGTGTGGCATCAACGTAACGTGTTGAGGGATAACTGTGCCTGTTGTAACAAAACCCAACCACAGTCGGCACCACTACAAGCCGCCTCAACCAAAGCCACCTTGACCGTGCTCACGTCATTCCCCTTTGACACACAGAGCAACATGTTTAAATGTGAGCCTGCAGAATCCCGTATAATGTTTATACTAATCGTTTAATACATTTGGCAAATATTTTGATAAAATGCCACGACTTATGACTGCCATCTGGCCTCTGAAAATTCTTAATTTTGTGACTTTGAAATGAAATGCCTCTTCCGCACATTTCCAGCAACAGTCGAAACAATGGATTTATTTTACAACCATCGGAAGCGTTTGCGGGTTGTACCACGTGTCGCTCGGAATGATGTCTTCACTCCACGTGCTGAAAGCAAGACGACAGTGTAACAACGGATCCTGAAGAAACTGCCAGTATCTGGAGCGAAACGTCGGACATCGTGCCAAACATCACGCGATGCAGCCCACAAACACATCGGAGAGCTGTACAGTGCAACCACTGAATCCTACGCACACTTCATTCACCATCTCGGAACTAAAGGACCATCGTACAAATTGTCCATGGAACGAACACATTTGTAATGTTCAATATATACAACATATCATTAAACTTTAAACTACAAGGATAGTACAGCAGACGCTCAGGGTGCTATTGAAACATTGGAGCTTACGTTTCACAACAGTGTTTTTATGCGGACGATAAAATCCCGTGAGGTTTCAAGCAGAGCCGCGGTTGGGTCATTGGGTCGAACAGAAGGCGTGAAGAAGACCACGTGTGCGTCTCTGGCGCGCCTGGGTGTCAGTGGGAGAGCACTTAGAAGCGACTCGAGACGTCACATTCATATCTGTTCCAGAAGTTATATTTATTCATTTCCTATTAAGTGCACACTCGAGTGATGTGCGTGTGACCCAGAATGTGCAATGGAGCGCGAGTTGAGGCGGTGTAATGTAAACATCCGTGACGTCTGAATCGAGGGGGGCAGGTTCGTGTCGCCAGCACGGAAAGAACGAGTCTTACGGCTGTAACTGTTTCATGTTGACATAGGCTTGTCGTACAATTGTCTGGCATGTTGAGACAAGGGGTACTTACATGTTTATTCTTCCGCTGGAAAAACAAAGAAGTTGTGAGATGGCGCAATTGTTGAAATGTTATGTATGCTCTTGTGCAGTATTCACTATCATCACGCTTTCAACAAAATGTAAGGTATAATAAGAGGGCTTTCGTAGTGCACTGCTTTCAGCCTGTAGCTGTCAGATCGATTAAAGTTATTCCTATTTCTCTCAATTTCAATGGATTCTCTCATTTGGCTTGGCCAGTAACAACGTGACACATGTTTTACTGGTTGGCCGTGTCGGGTGGTGGAGGGTTGCGACACATTTATAAATAACGCGATCTAACCCAAAAACATTTATTATAAATACTATTGTTCGTCAAAGCCTACGTCTTAGAAAGCCTATTCTTTTTTCAACATTTTGATACCGGCAAAACGTGTTTCCATACATAGACTACGCACACTTCAGACACAATTTTGGAGGCACAGATTTGGATAGGAGGCATATTCTGTCTAGTTGGCGACAATGAGATGGGCACGAGATGATGATCGTGTTACCCACATGTATCCCTCATCGCGAGTGTCTCCTGGCAAGTTCCCGGCGATATCCCAGAGCGATCAGCAGAGATACGTCTCGTTCCCCGGTCATCGTTTTATTTGAAATGGGACGCCCTGAGACTGGAGTGCATATAGACTTACAGTCCACACTCCAGGGAGCTATTTTGTTCAACCAGGTTCTATTCTATTAGTGCGTTTGATGCCAATATGTTCAGGAGCGAAATGCCAATGTCTGCGTCTGCTCGACACCACGAGAGTGCCGTTTAGCAGAGAGCTCGTGTCGCTTTGCTGTTCCTCCATTGAATGAGCGCAGGCTACAGTGGTCTACAAAGTGGTCTAAAGTTTAGGTTGCATGGCGACAATCACACTCATGAAACTTGGCTTTTCGTATCTCTATGTCTGTATATAGATCTATATTCAATGGTGCTTTCGGTAAAGTTACGTGACTTTACCGAAAGAACCATAGAATATGAATTCCTGCAGTCACAAAAGTGTTCAGTAAAAGTTTATATCGATCTACATATGTATCTGTGGGTTTCTGATATGGCCCATAGTTTGGGTTGCATGAGCACAGTCGCTTTACTGTGGCAGAGCTTTAGTTTCCCACCCATGAAGTGGATGTGCCCATCGGCGTGTTGATGTTTTGATGCGGCTGGTGGTCCCACCACGGCCTTCAAGGAATGTCAAGGCCAGCAGACGCGACGTGTGGGTCACCCACGAGGGGTCTGTCCTGGACGTCGGCGTCGTCCCACTGCCCGCCAGCAGCGTTCTTGATGGATCTGGGCGACGTCCTGGCGACAGGCTGGTCCCAAGCGGGGGACGGGGCTCGAGGGACATGTTGGACGGGTGGGTGGTTGTCGTGGCAAGACGACGTGGTAGCGCCTTCGCAGTTTGCGTGTCTATGGATATCTGGTGGCAGCATGGCCACTAGAACAGGGAGCCGGGTGACCGGTGTCCGTGTTCTGCTCAGGATGCCCATCGTGTTAACGAATGGTGCAGCTGGTGGCTTTGTGTCGGGGGAGCTCGGGGGCCAGGCTGGAGGAGGGGGGGCCCAGGCTGGAGGAGGGGGGGCCCAGGCTGGAGTGGAGGAGGGGGGCCCAGGCTGGAGGAGGGGGGGCCCAGGCTGGAGGAGGGGGCCCCAGGCTGTAGGAGGGGGGCCCAGGCTGGAGGAGGGGGGCCCAGGCTGGAGGAGGGGGGGCCCAGGCTGGAGTGGAGGAGGGGGGCCCAGGCTGGAGGAGGGGGGGCCCAGGCTGGAGGAGGGGGGCCCAGGCTGGAGTGGAGGAGGGGGGGCCCAGGCTGGAGTGGAGGAGGGGGGGCCCAGGCTGGAGTGGAGGAGGGGGGCCCAGGCTGTAGGAGGAGGGGGGCCCAGGCTGGAGTGGAGGAGGGGGGGCCCAGGCTGGAGGAGGGGGGCCCAGGCTGGAGTGTAGGAGGGGGGGCCCAGGCTGGAGGAGGGGGGCCCAGGCTGGAGTGTAGGAGGGGGGGCCCAGGCTGCAGTGGAGGAGGGGGGGCCCAGGCTGGAGGAGGGGGGCCCAGGCTGGAGTGTAGGAGGGGGGGCCCAGGCTGGAGTGTAGGAGGGGGGGCCAGGCTGGAGTGGAGGAGGGGGGGCCCAGGCTGGAGTGGAGGAGGGGGGGCCCAGGCTGGAGGAGGGGGGGCCCAGGCTGGAGTGGAGGAGGGGGGCCCAGGCTGGAGGAGGGGGGGCCAGGCTGGAGGAGAGGGGGCCCAGGCTGGAGTGGAGGAGGGGGGCCCAGGCTGGAGGAGGGGGGGCCCAGGCTGGAGTGGAGGAGGGGGGGCCCAGGCTGGAGGAGGGGGGGCCCAGGCTGGAGTGGAGGAGGGGGGCCCAGGCTGGAGGAGGGGGGCCCAGGCTGGAGGAGAGGGGGCCCAGGCTGGAGTGGAGGAGGGGGGGCCCCAGGCTGGAGGAGGGGGGGCCAGGCTGGAGTGTAGGAGGGGGCTCTGCCACTGAGCAGATCATCGATGAGAGGGCGGCAGGTCGCAGTTTATCCGCCGAGGCGCCCCAAGCCGCAAGTTTCTGTAGCAGGGCGGCTCTTGAATTCGTCTTCTCACAAATCTCTTTTACTGGGAGATTCAAGGTGAGGCGCTAATGCGGTGTTTAATGTGATGTATGGAATGTGATGCGGTAATGCGATGTGTTTCATGTGACATACGAAATGTGATGTGCTATTTTAACATGAAATATGTGCTAATTCTATGTATGACATGTAATGTGCTCATTGTGTATACAGTATAAGATGTAATGTGCTAAAGTGATGTATGAGATGTAATGTGCTGTATGAGATGTAATGTGCTCATGTGCTGTATGATATGTAATGTGCAACGTGATATGTAATGTGCTCATGTGCTGTATGATATGTAATGTGTTTATGTGCTGTATGATATGTAATGTGCTTATGTGCTGTATGAGATGCAATTTGCTACCTGAGATGTAATGTGTTTATGTGCTGTATGATATGTAATGTGTTTATGTGCTGTATGATATGTAATGTGCTTATGTGCTGTATGAGATGCAATTTGCTACCTGAGATGTAATGTGTTTATGTGCTGTATGATATGTAATGTGCTAATGTGATGTATGATATACAATGTGCTTATGTGATGTATGATATACAATGTGCTTATGTGATGTATGATATGTAATGTGCTGTAGGATATGTAATGTGCTAATGTGATGTATGATATGTAACCAGGAGCTGACGAGAGGCCCCCGCACGCGGTCACGTGACGCACCGCAGCCAATCCACGCGAGCCGAGCGCGGGGAAATTGGCGCTCGTACCCGGAACTAAAGAGCCCGGTACCAAAACACCCGGACGCGAGCGCACGGACACGCAGTGGCGAGGGCCGACCTGGGTCCACAGCAACCATAGAGGTGAGGGCGACAGCCTCCACTACAGTCTACTACAGTCTACAGTCTAGCCTACAGTCTACAGCCTACAGTCTATACTACAGTCTACAGTCTATACTACAGTCTACAGTCTATACTACAGTCTACAGTCTAGCCTACAGTCTACAGCCTACAGTCTATACTACAGTCTACAGTCTATACTACAGTCTACAGTCTATACTACAGTCTACAGTCTAGCCTACAGTCTACAGCCTACAGTCTATACTACAGTCTACAGTCTATACTACAGTCTACAGCCTACAGTCTACAGTCAATACCTACAGTCTACAGCCTACAGTCTATACTACAGCCTACAGTCTATACTACAGTCTACAGCCTACAGTCTATACTACAGTCTACAGTATATACTACAGTCTACACTACAGTCTACAGTCAATACTACAGTCTACACTACAGTTTACAGCCTACAGTCTACAGTCAATACTACAGTCTACACTATAGTCTATACTACAGCCTCCACTACAGTCTACAGCCTACAGTCTACACTACAGTCAACAGTCAATACTACAGTCTGCACTACAGCCTCCACTACAGTCTATACTAGTCTATAGTCTACACTACAGTCTACACTACAGTCTACACTACAGTATACACTATAGTCTACAGTCTAGCCTACAGTCTACAGTCAATACTACAGTCTACACTATAGTCTACAGTCAATAATACAGCCTCCACTACAGTCTATACTATAGTCTACAGTCAATACTACAGTCTACACTACAGCCTACAGTCAATAATACAGCCTCCACTACAGTCTATACTATAGTCTACAGTCTAGCCTACAGTCTATACTACAGCCTACAGTCAATACTACAGCCTCCACTACAGTCTACACTATGTTCTACAGTCTACACTACAGTCTACAACCTACAGTCAATACTACAGTCTACTCTACAGTCAATAGTCTACACTATAGTCTACACTACAGTCTACAGTCATTACTACAGTATACAGTCAATACTACAGTCTACACTACAGTCTACAGTCTACACTATAGTCTATACTACAGCCTCCACTACAGTCTACCCTACAGTCTACAGTCAATACTACAGTCTACACTACAGTCTACAGTCAATGCTACAGTCTACACTGCACTACAGTCTACAGTCTACACTACACTACAGTCTATAGTAAAGCTCTAGGGTACAGTACTGTATACAGTAGAGCAGGTAGAGGGTCTAGGTGATGGCAGCATCTCCATCAGCTTGGCTCGGAGCTTGTGTTTATGGGAGCACGGTGATGATGGGTGTCTTCATGTGGCCGACAGGGTCGTTCATTCGTCGGTGGAAGTTTTTGCTTTGAGCTGTCACAGCGAGATCATCGCCAGCCACTACAATTGTGGGTGAATCGGTGTCGTGAGCTTAAGGGAAATTTCTGCTCGTTCACATCTGTTGGATTATTCTCATTACTACTTCGGAAGTTATTTTATCACTGTACTTTGGATGCATTTCGGGTTAGAATTTTCAGATTATTTTTTTAAAGGACAATTTCATTTTTTCAGGTTTTTGGATAGTTTTTAATCATTCAAGTTAACAAAAGTGATGGGCCATGTGACAAATTTTGGATCAATCTGAAACCATTTTTTATCATATTCTTGGTTCTTTCGATAAAGTCACGTAGATAGAAAATACAATTAAAATTACAGATAATAAAATGAAAAAGTGAGTTTTTTGCTTTTATTATGTTCAATGAATAGTTTTATTTTATTATCTGTTATTTTATTTTCTGTCCACGTGACATTACCGAAAGAACCAATAACATGAATTCCTACAGTCACGAAAGTTTAAAGTCATTTTTAAATCATTAAATATTTTGAGATTTATCCTTCCTCAGCGCCCTGCTAAACGTAATTGACTCGAGGCGAACAGGTGCCAGCAGCTGCCTGCTGCCCATGACTCGAGGCGAACAGGTGCCAGCAGCAATCTGCTGCTGCCCATGACTCGAGGCGAACAGGTGCCAGCAGCAGCAGCAGCCTATTGCTGCTGCCCATGACTCGAGGCGAACAGGTGCCAGCAGCTGCCTGCTGCTGCTGCCCATCGCACCTGCAGAGGCAGCACGGGAACTGCGGATCAGAACGAGACGAGATTCCCACCAGCCACACCACGAGCTGTCATTGAGCATATTCTTTGGGTTTAATTATGTTTAACTCTATAATAATAATGTTATTAGTACAACTGCTGTGGACAAGTTGAACTCTACTGAAGCTCATAGTTATTATATATATTACAATGTTCGTGAATGGCACAGCTGCTGATGGGACAGCCAATGGGAGCCGAAGGGCCGGGGTCTGCACCTGAACACGTGGCAGATGCTCCAGAGGACGCGATATTCACGAGCGAGCTGCTGATCGCGATACGTTCTAAATCGTGTTTCAGGAATCGATGTTTGGCTGTAGGGTCACTTCTCCTTCGTGAAGCTGCGATGTTTGCTGGGTATCATGCGGCCACATTCGCTTCTGCTTCCACGAAGCCAGAGCAAAGGTAGAAATGAGGTCACCAAGAATGGATTTTGGACATGTTGCCAAGTTGTGCCGTTTCAAACCCATTCTTCAATACTGTAACACTTCTTATACCAGGATGGAGATTGCTTTAGAGTTGTAGGTTTTCATTTGTTCAGTGTTATTAATTTTTTATTGCAAAGTGAAAATGTTCAGCATTTCCGCTGTGTTGGGGACGGTGTTACTACTTATAAGACGTGAACAGCAACACGAGGCCTCCCCGCATCTGATCCGCTGCCTTGCCACGTCGCTGCGCAGTGCCGCTGAAACTTCGTTTCACGCACACAACTAAGGGCCGCGGTGCCTTTGTGGAATCAAACAACTTGGGGCAGTCTTGATTTGACGCTTTCGTGACTGCAGGGATCCAAAGTCTTTGGCTCTTTCGTTAAAGTCACGAAGCTAGAAAACTAATAGCTCGCGACACAAGCAGTCGTCATCAGGTGGGACAGCCACAGCAAGAACACACAGCCGAGCAGACGTGAGCTCCGAGGAAGGGAATGTGGTGTCGGTGCTGCGCGGAGTTTGTGTCGTGGCTTTGTCTGCTCGGCGACAAAGAGCGCCTGACGCGGCGGGGGCCGTGCCCCGAGGGGGGGAGGGGGGGGCCGAGGGGAGGGGCCCCCGAGGGGGGGAGGGGGGGGCTGTACCCCGAGGGGAGGGGGGGGCCGTGCCCCGAGGGGGGGAGGGGGGGGCTGTACCCCGAGGGGAGGGGGGGCCGTGCCCCGAGGGGGGAGGGGGGGGCTGTACCCCGAGGGGAGGGGGGGCCGTGCCCCGAGGGGGGGGAGGGGGGGGCTGTACCCCGAGGGGAGGGGGGGCCGTGCCCCGAGGGGGGGAGGGGGGGGCTGTACCCCGAGGGGAGGGGGGGCCGTGCCCCGAGGGGGGGGAGGGGGGGGCTGTACCCCGAGGGGAGGGGGGGCCGTGCCCCGAGGGGGGGAGGGGGGGGCTGTACCCCGAGGGGAGGGGGGCCGTGCCCCGAGGGGGGGGAGGGGGGGGCTGTACCCCGAGGGGAGGGGGGGCCGTGCCCCGAGGGGGGGGAGGGGGGGGCTGTACCCCGAGAGGGGGGTGACCGTGCCCCGAGAGGGGGGGGGGAGGTGACCGTGAAGTGACGCCCAGAGCGGGCGGCGCGGAGTCTGCGGCGTGGAGGTCGCCGCGCGCACTCCTCGCTGCGCGCTCGGCACGATGGGGGGGGACCCGAAGTCGGAGAAGGGTGAGGACAGCAGCAATGGCAAGGAGGTAAATGTGTTGATCCGCTTTGTCGGCTCGACTTCTCGGTGTGAATTCTGTCACCGTAGCGAACACCATGGCGATGTGTTGTGGTTTCCCGCGTGTGATTACGCGCTCAGGTGCAGTAGAAACCGTCTTGTTTATGAGCCCAAAGCGACAGCGACAATCCCAACGTGGCGATGAAGGAAGTGTGAAAGTCGTCAACTCGTTAACAAGGAGCAGCGTTCACGTGTGTGCGGTCCGCGCACTGCCACGAATACTGTGGCGGCTGGAAAAATATCACAAAACGAGAACTTCGAGATTGAAAGTCGAGGCGGTTTCCGTGGCGCGCGTGTTGTGGCTTGTCAACTAAATGGCTTTTCATCGTAGACGGAAGTGCAGCACCTCTTGCTGCCGTGTTCTAAACGCGTCGGTGATCGCCCACTAACCATGCAGTGTGTGCGTGTGCTAAACAGAATGAAACTCTCAACAGGTATTTACACTCACCCGGTTTTCGGTTCACGTTTTTCATTTGGACGTCTGTGAAAATGAGCTTCATAGCTCACCAGATTCCCCCAGTCTGAATACAGATTCTGATAAAGATTTGAATAAGCGCCGTTAAATTCTTAATATTTTAAAACTGTCATTAATAGTTTTGCCAAATCAATGTGTTCTAGGAAGCCACAGTAGTAACACCGAGGCGTTTACGGCAGCACGCAAGGCGAGAACTTGACGTGCGGATTTTGTGGAAATTTTTTGCACTTTTTCTCCTGTTTTAAGGAAACCCAGTTCCTGTAGAGCAGGGGTCCTCAAACTTTTTAAACAGGGGGCCAGTTCACTGTCCCTCAGACCGTTGGAGGGCCGGACTATAGTTAAAAAAAACTATGAACAAATTCCTATGCACACTGCATATATCTTATTTTGAAGTGAAGAAACAAAACGGGAACAAATACAATATTTAAAATGAAGAACAAGTAAAGTTAAATCAACAAATTTGGCAGTATTTCAATGGGAATTATGGGCCTGCTTTTGGCTAATGAGATGGTCAATGTCCGGTTCCATATTTGTCACTGCTAGTCGTAACAAGTGATGCAAGTGTGCATCCATTAGTCTAGATCTGGTTGGAGATTTCAAATGTTTCATTCAGGAAAAAGTCTGTTCACAGACATAAGTGCTGCCAAAGATGGTTGCCATTTTGAGTGCATGGTTCCTGAGATGAGGATATGTCTCAGAGGGGAGAGATGCATAGAAATTATGAAGGCTGCTT